TTACAACTTATCCACCAATTAACAACTCTAAATATGTTTTATTGTAAAATTATGTTTTTTTAAATTTCATTAGATATAAAATGGAGAGCAATATTGTAATGAGAGGCAACCCAATTTCACTAAATACTGGCCAAAGTTTCTCACCTATATTTAACTAACTTGTCTCTATAAAAAAAAAAAAAGAGGATAATTCAATTATGTTTGTGTGTGTATTACAATTTACATAACAAGTTACCCTATTTAATCATCTTAAATTCTAGAAGATTACAACTCATCTCATCGTTTTAATTGATATTACAATATTGTTATATTAAAAATATGAATTTCTATAGCTATTTTCCCCAACAAATCTTAGTAATCATTGTAAATAACAAATCAACATGGTAATATTATCTTTAGTTCTTAAAATTTAATCAATCACATTTTACTTTTTGTCTCTAAAATTTGGAACCAATAATTTTAGTTCTTGAAATGTGGTTTCGTTCTAATTTTGATTTCTAAAATTTGAAACAAGTGATTTTGGTCTTTGATATTTAATCTTACTTTGGTTGTCATCCTTATTTCAATGACCAAAAAATTTAAATTGGACCAAAATAAAGTTAAATTTTAGGAAACAAAATCATTAGTTTAGAATTTTAAAGAACAAAATCAAAATAATGTCATATTTCAGGACTAAAAATGCTATTAATCTTGTATTCTATCTCAACAATATATTTTTAAACTTAATTTGAAGCGAGGGCCATTGTTTCAGTTTGTTTACCGTTTTAAAAAGATACAACTGAAAATCATTAAAAAAATTATTTTAGTTTTTAAAAATAATCAGAGACTAAAAAGTCATATTTTTTTATTGCTTTCCAAGGATGCTTTGAATAACATACGAAAATCATTAGAAAGTAAATTATTTTTTATTATAATAATCACGTGCAAAATAATTGACTCTTCAAAAAATCTCAAAACAATATGCAAATAATCACTTATTTTTTAAGGGTAAAAAAAATGTAACCTATTATTTAATTCGTTATAGTTTTTTCATCTTGGTCCCTATGTCTAAAGTCGCAAGCAAATCAACTTGGGTCATGGGGCAGCCTTCCCTTGAACCACGTGCTAGTTGAACCATGTTGTCTCTTTAATTGATGCCGCATTTTTAACAAATTCAGTTTAAGATAAAATATTTCACATTTTAAAATAACAAATTTCTCATTTTAAAAAACTAAATTATACTTTCAATCGTTTAACTTTATATTTATTAACTTTAAAAAATATATTTATAGTTTTTTAATCCAAAAATTATTAGTATAAAATGATTATTTTTTTGTAATAATTATAATTGTTTTGAAAATTAAACTCGATATGTTTAACATTTAAAAATGTCTTATCAACATTTAAGATCTCAATATCATTATTTTTTGTAAATAATTTTAGGATTAAAAGACTAAATTTAAAGTTTAAATGTGCAGTTTTTGTGAAATATAAAGCTTTTGTTATCTTACTCCCATTTTGTTATCTTATCTTTTCTCTGAACGATGAGTATATATAAAACATAGTCTCTAACTCTTTCTCAGCACTATTTTATATAAGATTTAATATTTAATAACCCTTTATTGAGGGAATGAAAATCCATATATATGAGCCACAAGGTGCTGATTTATAATTTTTCTAATTGGATAAAATACGTAAATGAAGTTTAATTTGTGACACTAAATAATTTCAAATGGTATTTTTACAGGTAAATATGGAAACTGACAGGGTATTGATGCATGTGCTTTGTTTAGCTTTATTAATAAGTGTTTTTTTTTTTCATTGAAGCAGAAATTGCTTTTGCATAGGGTCATTAATTATGGAGGACTAATTAAATATATCATGAGTAGAATTGGAAATTAATGGACAATGCATTAACTAATGCATCTTCCGTATTTGAATTTATTCACTGTAAGTTTGGCAAACTTGATGGTATAATCCTCTTGGGATGAATCCTATGGCCTATAAGTCGCTGCCATAAAAGTTTTATTCGCTTTGATATTAGGATGCTACTTGCCAAACTTGATTTGATGTTCATGGCTCACCCATATCTTATTTGAGACTGGTCCAAATGGACCAATTATTATGCCTTCAAAATGAAGCTCACATGCTTGGAAAAGTATTGCTGATGTCTGGCTGGAAACTAAGATGGTTATCCAGAGCTGGGAATCAGGGCCGGCCCTTCAGGGCTAGCGGGCTTAAAAGTGCCGGCCCTGCAGGGCTGAAATTTCAAAAATATTCTGATTTGCTAGGTCCAGCCCTTAAGTTACAAGGCTCAAGGTTGGCCCGCGGGCTTTTAGCCCGTTTAAGAAAAAAATGTTATTTTTTATATTTATCATCTTTTTATTAAAAAAATAAAAATAAATCAATGAAATTATTAATAAAAGACATAAATATGAATAAAATTAAGTCACAAATATAAAATATCCTCGTATATAAATATCTATCAACATCCAAGAACATCTAAAGCATTTATTAACAAGATAACAACATTCAAAAGTTTTATTTATAGTACAATTGTATAATAAATAAACACTATTATTAATCTCTTGAAACTTCATCATCACTATAATTAATTATTCTTCTTCATAAGTATGCTTTTATTTCGTAACAAAAATATCAAGTTTTTCTTCTTTATAGGAATTTTACTTTTAAATTTTTCAATCTAGATATTATTTTCTTTAATATGAGAAATATTGTTGTTGAAACTCATGAATTTCTAATTCAAATTATAGAATCACATGTTATATAAGTATAAAACTACTCTATTATCAAATATACATAGTTTAAACATATCAACGCATATAATATAAATCAAATCATTATTAAAGTCCAAATTAACCCATTTTTTTAAAAATTTAATTGGATAAATTATTATCTAAAAATAAATTTAATTTTAAAAAGATAATAATAACTAAATATTTGAAATATTATTAACAATGTAAAAAATTAATAACATTAGAATTATATAAAAAATTTACAAAACAAAAAAAATTATAAAAGGGCTTAAACGGGCTGGCCCGCAACCCTCTAGGGCTGGTCCTTTTAAACCCTCGGCCTTCCAGGGCTTACTTTCCATTTGAAAGGAAAAATATCAAACCCGGCCCTCATAATTTCAGGGCTTAAACGAGCCAGCCCGATGGGCTCGGCCCGTTTTCCCGACTCTATTGTTGTCATATTGGATTATGATGATGGCAACCATGTTAAGCCCTGCTTTGATAACTGGGTTGGACAAAATAACAGGCATTAGTTGTAGCAGAAAGGGCCTTTTAACCACTTGAACATGAGCTCTTGAGTGGGCTAAGATAACATTTAAACGAAAAAAACAAAAAATCTCACAAATTTTTTTTGAAATTACTAAACCCTAAATAAGAAATTTGTACATAAATATGTTATTGTTTACAAATCCAGTATTGTCAAAACCTATTAAACCAATCTTATTTGAGTTATTATTAGATATTAAATATGAACACCTTTTATAATGGGAATTCAAACTTTAGCTCACCGTGTCATAAAAGGTTAGTTTCTTCTATTAGACTCAGTTTTCATTTGCGATACTTTGTAGAAATTGTATGTGGGTGTTAGGCCTGAAATATGTATTGGGCCAGGCTAAAACCAATTTTCTGAGCCCTGCGATTTATTTTGTTAAGCCCAGTTAATTTTAACGATACCAACTAATTTACTCATATTAAATATTTTATTTATAAAGTGACATGACGGAGATCCCAGAGCAGAACCATAACCGACAGCCAAGCATATGCAAAAACAATTCGTGTTCTAGTTAATTGCTTCTCCCTCGTTTGGAAACATGTTTGAAACCGTTCATACCCCGTGAATAAAGCCTCAAACTAATGAAATGGTTGCCAAATACTTAAAATCTGTATAAACTACTCCTCCGATCCTTAATATAAGACCCATTTAACTAATTTGATTAGATTAAGAAAGTTAGGTAAGTTAGTTAATTATAAGAAATATGACATATTTTTCCTAAAATACCATAATCATCTTTCTTAATACCTTCTCTCCCTCTTCTACTTGACTATGGTTGAGAGAGTATCTATAGGGGTAATTTAGAGAAAATTGATAAATATGAGAAATGGTTCTTATATTGAGGACCAAAATCAACTCAACAATTGGGTCCTATATTAAAGACCGGAGGAGTATTAAAAATATTAAAAAAAAATATTCTTTATCCTACCCACTAGTCATGACGCACTAATTTTAAAACTATAGGTTTTGATCTTTTTAAGTTTTTTTTAAAACATTAGTCCCTATAATCCAATAAAAAGTTAAAGCAATTTAAGTTTTGGTTTCTCAAGGGGTAAAATGATTTCAGTTTGTATTGGATTATAATGACCAATATTTAAAAAGATTTTTAAGAGATCAAAACCTATAATTTAAAATTTAAGGGACTAAAATTAAAATGAGAGCAAACTTGAGGAAGTAAAAATTATATTAACTTTTTAGAATATAAGTTACTCTTCCGATCTTTAATATAAGACTCATTTAACTAATTTGATTAGATTAAAGAAGTTAGATAAGTTAGTTAGTTATAAGAAAAGTGCCACATTTTTTCTAAAATACCATAATCATCTTTTTTAATACCCCATCTCCCTCTTCTACTTAATTATAGTTGAGGGAGTATCTATAGGGGTAATTTAGAGAAAAGTGATAAATATGAGAAATGAGTCTTATATTTATGATCAAAATCAACTCAAGAATTGAGTCATATATTAAGGACTGGAGGAGTATTTATATCTCACAAAGCCAAAAAAGAATTCAGAAAATAATGATAACACTTGTCAAACCAAAACAAAGGTGAAGGTAGTATTGATGGAAAAGGGGGAAAAAAAGAAGAACAAGCCATTTTAGAAGAGATGGTTTTCTATTTTCACGGGAATTGCATGAAACTCCGTCATATTCGCGTCCCATTCACGCATATAAACCCCCCGCTGGCCATCATTTTCATATCGTAGCTTATTCTTCTCCTTCTTGCTTCCTTTCAAGTTTCTTGGAGGAGGCAAGTTGTTAAACTTTCTGCGTTTTTCTCTTTTCTCGCATCTCCTGCAATTTTCATTCTCTTGTAACTAGAAATGGCAGCCTCCAGATGGTTGAAGCCCGAGGTACTTCGTTTTATCTTTTCCCTTTTTTCCTAATTCGTTTTCATCAATGATGTTCATATTGTTTGATTCCCGAGAAAACAATTCCAATGCGAACGCCATTTCAGCTCGTTACTTTTTGCGATCGATCTATTAGTAATAGTTGTTCTAACGCCTGACCTGGGTTGTAGTTTCGGGTTAAATATAGCCGGAGATTCTTTTTTCATCGTAAACGTCGTCGGTTAATTGATTAGGAGAAATGGTGATCCGTTTTTTCTCTCTATAAGCCTGTAAATCTCCGAGGAGATTCTTGGTTCGATTTTGTGTTTCGTGTTCTTAAGAAACCAATGTCAGGGAGAATTGAAAAGAAAATCACATTCAGATTATCAATCTTCGTTCTGATTTTTTTTTTTTTTCCTGAATGCGTTCTGTTTATTGTCCTGCGAATAGGTTTACCCTCTCTTTGCTTCAGTCAGTGTGGCTGTTGGGATCTGCGGTATGCAACTCGTTAGGAACATCACTACCAATCCTGAAGTCAGGTACATTATATCATGTTAATTAACAGACGCGTGAGTTTCCATTTTCACTTAAAGAAATGACCACATTGATTTGAGAAAAACATGTAATAATGAATCGGGAAGCTCTATCTTTGAAAAACCAAGGAAAAATTATTTCCGAACAACTTATATTTTCTCCTGATTTTTAAGTTAGCGTCAATGCATTTTTCTTTATTAAATCTTTAACTTTGCTTTGTTAGCACAGTTACATAGGCTCATAATACTAATAGTGTAAAGAGACTAATAACACTAAAAGAGCAAAATTAAATAATTTAATCAAAACATACATGGATATCAAATTAAAAATTAAAAAAAAGTATAGATAACTACAAAATAATGAGAGAATTACAACGAGATCTCGTAAAAAAAAATAAATACAAAAAGTTTTAATAACAAATCAGAAGTTGTTATTTTTTGTACTGAAACTTGTCGTTTTATTATTATTGAAACTTTTTAGATGACTTTACAGCAATTCTTTCATCAATTTTTTATGTTTCTTCCTTCGTTTGAAGTTGTTGTGAACTGAAGGATGAATTGGTAATGTTAATGGCAGGGTACTAAAAGAGAATAGAGCAGCAGGAGTGCTTGAGAACTTCGCAGAGGGTGAGAAGTATAAGGAACATGGACTGAGGAGGTTTCTGCGCAACAAGCGCCCTGAGATTATGCCATCTGTCAACGATTTCTTCTCTAAACCCAACTAACTCACACTGTCCAATTATTTTCATATTCATTGGCTTGAATTGATTCCCGGGAATTGGTTTTACGTTTTGGGTTTTGTGTTGAGAGAGGTTTAGGTACGCTTCAATCTCATTTTTCATATCACTAGTTGTAATTTGTTGATGGATGAGGCTTGTCCATGTCGTTCAATAAATAATAAAGTTTCTTATTTTTCTCTCTCTTAATTTTTCAAAAGAATTTCTATGACTAATTGGATAAATAACATATGTGATTAAAACTTACCTTTTCAATTTATTTTTTCAAAAAATTAATGGGAGAATGCAATAGAAGGATGGAAAAAATTAAACTGAAACTACAAATTTGTAAAATCACATAGGAAGGCTAAGACAAAAAAACATATACTTTTAACCAACTAGAAAACATATTCCGGATGTAAATCCTGATATTTTAATTATAAAAATTAAAATCTTAGTTGCATATAAATTATGAATTACACGAGTTTTGTAAAATTTTGAAAGCTAAGTTCTAAATCTTGAAAACCATATACTCGTATAATTTATAATTAATCTTGAAATCTCAGTTGTGAACACTTTTCATCCTCTCACAATTTATATATATGTTATCAACTAATTTTTTTTGTTTTTTTACAGCTGAGTTTTTAGGATTTACAACTGTTATGTGTGCACGAGTTTGGTTGGTGTAGTGAATTTTGTCTGACGTGGTGATCAAGTTGAACAATGTCAAAATCTCAGAATTATTAAGAAATTTAAACAAAATCTGAGGAATTAAATTATGTAAGTCATTGTTCACATTGAATATGTCTTGAGTTTAAATTATATATAATGCAAATTAAAAAACTTCTATCTTTAAAAAGCTACATTGATTAAAAAAATGAATATTACCTCATTAATATAAGTATTAGATAATTAATTTGTGAATATTAAAAAATTAGTTAAATTAGTTATTTGTAATAAATAGATATTGTCTTATCTAAAATATACTTATCAATTATATGTATTGAAATTACTTTTTCATGAAACTGCTTAAAATATGTAATTGCTATAATAATTATTTGAAGACAAAATGGATAAATATTAAAAACAAAGTAGATTTGAGTTTTATATTTATAATCAAATTGAATTTCAAATAAGTTTTTATATTTGTGTGTACTAAATCATTTTTTTTCAAGTTCTATGTTACTCCTCCGGTCTTTAACATATGACATAATTGTTAAGTTAATTTCGTTCCTAAATATAAGACCTATTTTTTATTTTTACTAATTTTTTCTAAATTACCCTTATGGACAATCTCTCAACTATAATCAACTAAATAAGGGAGAGAAGATATTAAAAAGATGATTATGGTGTTTTAGAAAAAATATATCATATTTCTTATAATTAATTAACTTACTTAACTTTTTTTAATCTAATCAAATTAATTTAAAAAGTCTTATATTAAGAATCGGATGAGTATTTTTCTTCAATGTCTTGGCTTGTTTGCTTACAGATACAATTCGGACGAGGAATCCTTACTTACGTTGGGTTGTCGATAGATGGAAAGAAAAATGTTTTGGCCATCATTCATTTATAAATCATAACCATTATTCAATTTTAATTTATATACATAAAAGTAGCATTTTTGGCCATTTTAAAATTTTTTAAACAAATGTCCTTTCTTTACTGTTCCAACAAAGATAAAGAAAAAGAGTTTTTTTTTAATACATTTTTACTCTTCTATGCATCTCGTTCCAAATACACAATGCATTATCAAAATCAAAGTACATAGAACTTATATTAAGTCATCCCATTCATATACTACCTCCAGTCTTATTATAAGAGCTAGTTGACTAATTTAAGGAGATTAAAGAAGTAAGTTGAGTTAGCTATTTGTCTTAAATAGATGTTATCTTTCCTAAAATATCCTTGTTAATCAATTGTATTGGTTAGAATTACTATTGTTAGAAGGACTACTTTAAAAAATAAATACATAAATATGAGAGACAAAGTAGATCGGGGTCTTATATTTAGGATCAAAATAAAAATTAAATAAGGTCTTATATTAATGACTGGATTCAAAGTGATTTGAGGATACTGAGTTATTAAAAAAAAAAAAAAAAGAGTCATCCCATTCATACATTATGAAATTCATTTATCACATTTTGTATAATGCACATAAAAAATGTCTCAAGCATGCCTAATTAGTATAAAATATTTCATAATCTTGGGGCCTAGTGCCTTGTATGCATTCGTGCAGGGGCTACTGGGCTTTAGACCTTTTTTTTAAAAAAAATAAATTAAAAGGTGAAACCATTTTGTTTAAAAAGAAATAATAATTAGGGAAATCCCAAAAAATGTCAATTCGCCTGAATTTCATAAATGACAGATTGAATCAATGACCCATTCTGTCATTTTCGAAATTTAAAGACCTAATGTGAGATTTGGTATATTCCAAGGGCTTTTTCTGGATTTTTCCTAATAATTATACCCAAAAAAAAGAAAAAAAAAAATAATAATAATAATTTGTCAGGTGGAAAAAGGAGAGAAAAAGAAAAATTCGTTCCCAAGCAGGCAAGTACCAACTTGACCGTTGAAGACGCACCAATTTTAAAAACCAAAGCCAAAAACAGAACTAGCCGTTACGCTGGTTATCTTCAAAGCCCTAATTTAGTGCGCCTTCAGTGTTTTGCAAATCGCATCCTACCAGTTTTTGGGCTTTTTCTTCTGTTGATCGATTCAGCCGAATCCCTCACTTCGATTTCAGAACATAGCCGATCTAGTATCCTAAGATTCTTGTCGATTCAAACATAGATTTTGGTAATTCAAAGGAGAACCAGGAGATGGCCGCAAGAACAGTCGCTAAAGACATCATCACTCTTCGTGGTTCCGCTGCAATAGTTAGCGAGTTCTTCGGTATGATAACTCTCCTTTGTTCTCGTGACGATTTCTTTCATCCAGAAATGGTTAGGGGTTTTCGAATCTGACTTTTTTTAATTTTTCCTGATCAGGATATGCTGCTAACAGGTGATCAATTCTGAACTTAAATCCCTCTCTCTCTCTCTCTACCTCCCCCCCCCCCCCGGATTTCAAATTTTGTTTGGTTACACTGGTAATAATTATTTTGAGTGGGAACTTTCTCTCAGTATTCTTTACAATCGGGGAGTTTACCCAGAAGAAAGCTTTGTGAAGGTCAAGAAATATGGCCTCCCAATGTTGCTCACACAAGATGAGGGTGTCAAATCTTTTATTGCCAATCTAACTGCTCAGCTATCTCGTAAGCCCCTAATTCCTTCTTCTTTATACCGTGACTAACGGTGGTTAATTAGCGTAAGTTGAAACTTGAGTTTTATTTCTACTTGACAAAAGTGGTCTCAAACATATCCACTTCCTTATCATTTTGATGCTGCCAATTCCAACTGAACCGAGACAGAGCACTGTTTTGATGTCTTTAACCTTTTTCCAATTTTATGATTGGAAACGATTGTAATTCATGGAGTAACAAAATTTTGGAACTTATAAACCTATCTTGACTTGGTAATTATAGGGTTAAATACCTATTCTCTTCATTATCTTCTCAATGCTGCCAATTACAACTGAACTGAAACAGAGCACTATTTGGATGTCTGGAAACTTTTTCTCAGTACAATGCTTGGAAGTGATTGACTAAATTCAGAGAGTAACGTAATTTAAAAGATGTAAACTTATTTTGACTTGGTAATTATAGTGTTAATAGACCCACTGCCCTTCTAGGTGCTGTGGATTTTCACTTAACTGAGAGGGATGAGTAATTTTGATGTCTTTGATCATTGCTAACGATTGAAAAATCTGAATCTCTTATGCTGCGAAGAATGGCTTGAAGCTGGGAAGTTACAGAGAGTTGTCCTCGTTATAATGAGCAAGGCCACTGGCGAAGTCCTTGAAAGGTGGAATTTCAGCATTGAGACCGACTCTGAGGTTGTTGAAAAGGGGTAAAGTAACCGAATTTCCATCTGAATTTTCGTTCTCTTATTTAGTTATTTTTTAGGGAACTATAAATGTAGACACTTGAAAAATGAAGCTTTGTGTATGTTATACCCTTGGAAAATGTATAAGATTACGCTAGAAGAAATTCAACAATTCCTAATTCGTCTTCTTATTAACACTAGCATCTGAAGTACTCTGCTCTTCATTTACGTTTTTATTTTTTATTTGAACTTTCAGCGTCTCGAGGGAAAAGAGCGACAAGGAAATCATGAGAGAGATACAAGCAATTATGCGACAGATTGCTTCAAGCATTACCTATTTGCCATGCCTTGATGAAACTTGTAAGCTTCATAAGGAAGCATCATGAACAGAAAAGTTGCTACCCTGCATCCCCCCCGGGGGGGGGGGGGTTCCTTCCTTCCTCTTCACTACAATGAAACCTAACATCAAATGGGGTTCTCTTGTTTCAGGTGTCTTTGATGTGTTGGCATACACTGACAAAGATGTGGCGGTTCCATTCACTTGGGTTGAAAGTGATCCAAAACTCATTGCAAATCCTCAAATGGTGAAATTGCATTCCTTTGATACCAAGGTGTGAGGAACCTAAATGTAGTTCAACGAATTTCAGGTCCTTCGGTTACTTGTTCAGATACTAATTTTATCTTGTTTCTGCAATGTAGATTCATAAAGTTGACACTCTTGTTTCCTACAAGAACGACGAGTGGGATGAACAATAGAGCCACACTTATTTTCCTGTTTTCGTTCTATTCTTGTGTTTGTACTGTGAATCTTCTATTCACATATTGTAGAAGTGTCTAATGCCTGTCAATGTGTGATATGGTTAACCCAGTCTCAGACAGTATAAACCGCACTTTTGTTTTATTGTTCACCTTGTTCAGCGTGTAAGGAACGCCAAAATTGTAGTTGACTATCATTTCAGTTTTGTGACACAGTGATAACTCCAGGCAAACACCGATCTGCATTGATCATAATAGTAAATTCTTGGTTAAATTAGTTTAATGATTCGTTAACTTTCTTCGTGGTCATAATATTCATGTTTATCGCAGCTAGGGACAGCGGATAATAAACAAATTATGCATTTTGTAACCTCTGGTTCACAAATTTTTTTTTTTTTTAAAAAAAGAGTATTCTGCAACTTCAGAGTCAGCTTTTGTTGACGGAAAAAGAAAGAAATAAAAATCCACCAGCTTTTGATTTTATAGGCAACCCCTTTAGGATTCCCGTTTGGTCAAGTGCATAAAATTCGTGTTCTTATCAGATAACTTTACTTAATAGTTGAAAATTGACAAAGATGATCTTGTGCTTGTTTAAAACTACTTAATACAAGTATTTATTTTGTTTCACCTAAAATGAAACAAAATTCTTTTCATATATTTATCTTGTATTTCACAAATCATAATTAAAGCTCACATACTTTCCAAAAAGGACATATTTTTATCCATGGAATTCACTTTCCTATAATAGAATTTTTTTGGGCCAGTAGTATGATGGTGGGCCAGTGATGAAGATAGTCACTAACAATATGTTGAAGAGGATGGGCTAATTGTACCATAAACGACAAGAAGAGGATGGGCTAAGCTAAAGCTTCATGCCCCCGCTAAAATACAGTGGATAAACCATCCCCCCCCCCCCCCAAAAAAAAAGAAGCAAGCGCGCACTCACATACTCCAACAAATACTGGTTTTAAACTTGAGATTCTTTTTAATTTTAATTGAACACTTGGATATTTTTCTAGCAATGATAACTTTTCTAACAAAAAAGATAACAGCACCGGCAATGCTCATTTACATGTTGAAGCTAGAGAACATAAATTATGCACATCTATATTCCTAAAAATATACAGCCAAATATAACCCCAGGATTGTGCTGCATGAATGTCAAAGAGATATATATACAGTCCCCCTACAAAGTTCTCTAGGCATTTTAGCTGAAGATTGATTATATCATGCACCAGTCCTCAACTCACACCACGATACATGGCACCAGGTTGAAGATCATCGAAGTTATCAATGTTTCTATATCCATCAAGTTCCCTTAGAGATGTCCAGCCTCGCCGAGCCAGAAAGTCACGGTGATCTTCTTCGGTGTAAAAGATCTTCTCTTCAGTATGAACATGAATTTGATCAGACTCATCATAGAGGCATACTTTAATGGCCATTCCTGCAACCATAATTTCAAGGGTTACACAGCAAGCACACACTTTGAGTAGGAGCATAAATTTTTCACAAAAACCCTTCAGATTAATAATGAGACCACAAGCCGATGAGCTAATCATCTAGAAGGAGAAGACAAAGTTTATTCCTCCATTTTTTTCAAGTGCTGAAAAGAGTTTACTCCTTATTCATGGGTTTTGTTGCTAACTGAACCTAACTTCCCGGCGCTGGCTAAAAGTTACATGATTCAACTGAGCAAAATTACTGATGGACTAACATCTATTATATTAGGCAAATAAAAGAAGTCATCAATTATTCTTGCTCCATTTCATCCGTCAGCCATCTGTGCATGGAAGCAATACACTTGTTGGTTTTCTGACCAGCAAGCAGAACCAACTAGCATTTGTGAACAAATTTACACAAAACAGAACAATTGCCAGAAGATTGCAATAAGCTTAAAATACCTTCATCAAGGTGAAGAGTATAATTTCCTAAAGGCATATCTCGGTCAAGACTCCTTATTATCTGGTATTCATCCTCCAACCAAAACAAACGTTTGCTTCTCAACCTAAAAGCAGCTCTTATTGCCTCTTTGATGGCTTCTGAAGTACCATCAATGCCTATTCTTCTTGTGTAATCGCCCCATTTAACTGTTATGACCCTCCCACAACATGATTGACCTTCCCCATCTGCTAAAGTAGAAAGATTAAGAAGCAAGAGAAGTATTAAGCTAAAGTAAAATACTACTAAAATAATAATAATAATAATAACTTGGCTGTTGCCACTGATAAAATTACTTGGTTCATCAAAAGCTAGCCACTTTAAACAGTTTAATGTGCATTAATTGAGGGCCTCAAGCCACACAACATTAATCTTTCCTACTTACTGTTCCACTCTTTGTGATCAAGCACACATCAAACAAGGAATCTATACAGAGCTTACTGCTTATAGGAGTTTCTCGCCAACTCCAAGGAGGAACCCCACTTGTGCCAACAGTATCAGCTGCAGTAATTGCAAGAGGATGTTCATCATGATCCAAACGATTCTCAAGATTGAGTGTTGATCTGCCAGTGGCTGAAACTGAACGCCAGGTACTTGAGTAACATCAAACATATGAAGTGCCAAATGGGAAATGGGTAAATGAAGTCAAACATATATCATCTTCGAGCTTTTTTGAAAAACAAGAACACTTCAATCAGTTAGCACTTTTAATGTTTTCTCCAAATTGGATTAAATAATGATGATTAGTGTTAAGTCATCTTTGAACATCAAAAAGCTGCAAATTGGATTAAATAATGATGATTAGTGTCAAGCCATCTTTGAACATCAAAAAGCTGCAACAAACAGGTACTGCAATTTAGGGCGAAACCAACAGAGGACAATTTGTAATAATTTGAGATAAGTTGCTAAATTACATCACTGTATCAAAAACCTATTTAAAATTGCACCCATTTACAACTGCCGAAAATTGAGTGAGACCCAGTTATCTCAGATGGTAAAATAATACTTCCAATCGCTCTATGAAATAAGAACCAAAAGGGGGGGGGAATCATCATCACATTATGCCAATAAGTTACCATGTAATTTATTATAACCAGAAACGGCCATCGCATTTCATTATTATAACCATTGTAATTTATTATAACCTCAGTTCCACATGCATATTTTGTGCTCTTCTTGAGGATTTTGAAACTGTCAGTAGCAACAAAACACTGGTCTTTTGAAAGGTTGGTGGCAACGATTTGCGATAGGTGATGTTAGTTTAAATTTTTCTGTCAATGTATCTGTATTTCACCATTAATACCAACCCAAAAAAAAGAAAGAAAAGAAAAGAAAAGAAATTGATGGAAAAATAATGAAGATTTCGTGTGAACTAAATGCAGTCTACACTTACCAGTGTGATTAACTAATAACTAGAAACCAAGGTCCAAAAAAAACAAAACTAATAACTAGAAACAAAAGTCCCTCATCAAATTTTGATCAGCAACCATGACCAAATATGAAATATTTCAGGAAATTAAAGAAAAAAATTTGGAGAGGAGCTTTTACATTGATATACCTTCAACAGGCCCGAAAGAAATGTTGGTATCCTCCATACCTGTACAGCCATATAACTAGTCAAACAAACATTTTTTAAGGCAGGAAGGAGTAAACTCACATCACAAGTGACAAACATTAGCAGTGCATGACTTAGGAATGATATAATCGGATAAACTACTAAGAGTGCTTGGTTCCACGTTAAAAACCATCAAAACCATGGTTTTGACGGAAGCTGCCTTGCTTTCACCAAAACCATGATTTTGTTGGTTTTCAACATGAAACCAAACACGCACTAAAGCTTCATTTGCTTTCACCCCCAAGTGCCAGCAAGTAGTCCATCATGATGAGTGTTATGGAATTTGGGAAAGAAGATGAAAGAACGGAAGAGAAAGACGAGGGAAAGAGGAACAGAGAATCAGAGAGACAGAGAATTCTGAGGAAATTGAATAACACTTCACTAAACTTCAACTAATTAACAGGTACAAATAATGTAGGGAGCTCTATTTACAAGTACACATCTCTATCTACTCCCATAACGGCAAGTTTTAGGAAACTCAAACATAACAAATCATAACTGCTAACGGCTCTAACTAACTAACTACTTCATATATACTCCCTCCGTTCCTTGTTATAAGAAATGAATAACTGAAGTACGTTAATCAAAAAAACAGTTAAAATTAGTTAAAAATAATTAATATGTAAAAAGTATAATTTTTTTAAAAATGCCCTCATTAATAAGGAAAGAGAGCATGAGAGCGAATAACTAAATTATTAAAAGAAAAAGAAGTGCAAGGGAGAGAGAGTGTGAGTTGGAGATAATAAATATGGATAAAATAGGAAATAAACACAAAAAAGTAGAGACAACTTTTAAGTGTCTCTTATATATAAGAACATGCCATAAACATCAAATGTCTCTTATAATAAGAAACGGAGGGAGTATTTTATATAACAATGAGCACTGGATTGCAAGCCTTTAAAGTGAGTTCTTTTCTTCAGGGTCAACTCACCTTTTACAAATGTTGCACAAACTTATAAATCCTCTAAATCAAATAACAGAGATGCCCATCTTTTCTGCCCAAAATTTTCAGAGTTCAGAATGACTAGCGGATTTGGCGATTATAAATAAGGCAGTTCGCTCCAGTTATAACTTGTAACAACAATAAATAATTTTTTTGTATAGACTATAGACCCGTTCCCTTTGTGAGAAAAGAAGTACAACCTAACAAAACAATGATAGGAAATTTCATGACAAAACCAAGTTTGTTGGACTACAGAAACAATACGATAATAAACAGCTGAGCAATGCTGCTCAGACAATCTCTCAAAAAATGTGCAAAACACCCACAGATTCAGTCACAGGCAAATCAGAATAGCAAGTTGCAACAAACGGGAACAGTTGATACCTTTATCAGAGAATTGCATATAGGATTCAACCTTTGAAGGAGTAGGGTTCTTGTAGCACACACTCTTGCTCCTCTCTTTCAAAATCTCTTCAATGTCTTTGTAATACGACATCTTAGCGGAACCAGCTCCCCTATCTTGATGCTTCGCCTTCTTAAACTCCTTTAGCAGATTTCTCCACTTATCCGTACACATAGTCGGTGATCGATCAAATCCCTTATCTCTCATCTTCCCCGATATCTGTTCCCACAAGTGCTTATTAGATTTGGAGGTATTAAACAGCCCATCCATCTCGCGGCGAAAAGCAATGAGGTTTCTCGTTTCGTCTTGCACCCAAGTCTCAGCGCGCTTCTTTGGCGCCTTAATTTCAACCTCGTGGTCCTCGCCACTACTGTCGCCGAGGATCATTTGATGTTGCTGAGGTTGTTGAAGTGGCGGCGGAGGAGGAGGGAGCTCCGCACTGGACGCAACCTCGATCATCATATCTGGGGTTGCTTCTTCTTTGTAGAAATCGATGGGTCGGGGTTTCTCCGATAAATACATTCAGACGGAAATGAAATTCAGAGGAAGACGAGAACAAGGAGTGAGAGTTCGAAAACCACTAGATTAAAAACAGGAGTTGCGGAGAACGCAATAGCGCAATCTAGTGATTGTGAGGTTGAAGCTTTCGCATATGGAATCAAATGGACTTGTCTCTCCATGTCTTCCGCTTCCAGTCCAACATTTTTCAGCTGATTTCATTTGCGTGTCGGTTTCAACTTTCAAAAACAAAGCAGTCAATTTCAACATGGATAGCTTTATGTGGAGCCGCCTCTTTTTTAGAGAGAGAGAGAGAGAGCTTTAACCGTGCTTTTGTAAAAGAAAAGTTTAGGTGATGACCAATTCTTGTTTGTCAAGGGCCTTTCTTCGAGCTTGTGTTTTTTTTTAATGTAAAATGAAACGCTTCTTTTTTATTCTAATTTTTCCCTGCCACCCTTATTATTCATTGTGATGTGAAATGCGTGTAATATTTTATAGATATATTTCCAAATAATTTCAAAAAATATTGAAAAAAAATTACAAAATACTTTTATAGTGATTCCTAATTTAAGATTTTAAAATTTTATAGCTTTTTTTTTTAAAGATTTGTCCATGTATTTATATTGTTTTTATCTGAGTTAGGCCCTCTCATTCAGTTAGGTCATAATATTGATTTCGATTTTTGAGTTTTTTTTAATAGTAAAATTTTAGAAAATGGATTGGACTCACCCACAATCCAAAAATAGGATACTTAATGCTTGATTCACTAGGACCTGCTCCTACGAGCACGAGAGTATGATAAGCAAATTCTTTTTTTTTGGTTCAATAAGTAAGAATCACCCAACTTCACTACGCTGTGGAGATACCTCTCTTAGTACCGCGACTGGAGTTACAATAAAGTGACACTTTTAGCATTGCTATTTTTGAGTTTTCACTCATCTACCACCATAGGATTTGTTGGAATTAATATTAATCGATTTTTGTAAATTGAAGTAGGGATAAAAGTTAATTAGTATAAAATATGATTCATGTTTGAATTTATTTTGATTAAAAAAAACTCATTTTGACATAAACTTGTTGGGTGACATATTTAAAAAAAAAAGTTGTTAGAAAGTTTAAATATGAAAAAAAGCCAAAAGTTATAAAAAAAAAAAATCGCTTCAACTTTTAAGTTATGTTTGCCCAAAAAGGAAAAATTGCCCCAACTTTTAAAGGTTTGTTTGGATTAGTGGTGACAAAACTAATTTTTATTTTATCTGATTTTGTAAAAATAAGTCAGAGTAAAAGTCAGTTAATGTAATATGATTTATGTTTTGATTGACTTTTATAAAAAGTCAGTTTGATAAATTGTAACTTACTTGAATGAGTAATGATAAAGTAAGTTAAATATAAAATGATTGAAAAGGACATAAGTTTTATAATATATATATATAATCTGATAAATTTAAGAAAAATAATAAACTAAAATAAAAATTATAAAATAAAAAGAGTTACTGTATTATTAAAAGCATTTAATCAAATGCGTTGAGTAAATTAAAAATATATATATGTAAATATAAAATGGATAATACTTATATCACATTTCTTATATCTATTATGTCAATTTCTCTAATCATACATGACCATGTGTACTATTTTTAAAATATTAACATTTAATGGTATTTAATTATAAGCCCACATAAACAAAAGGAAAATGGCAAAAAAAGACCGATGAAATTAAAAAATTACACGCAAGGACCCCTTCATAAAAATTATTGTCAAAACTCATACTATTGTTGTCAAAATACATACTAATGTTGTAACAAGTTCCATTTGTAATTTTTCTATTTCAACTGTCTTTTTTTGCGATTTTTCCTAAAAAAAATGGAGACACATGTCCATCAAGAGTTTGACATAATAGATATAAAAAACTTGACCTAAATATTTTCTATATAAAGTTGTTAAATTTTGTTAATTAATTTTTTCTTCTTAGAATGTTTTTATAAACATTTAATTATTACCAAAAAAAATCAAAGTATTAGATTAAAATAGAACACTTAAATACTTTTTCTTTTCTTTTCACCCTCATTTATTTTCTCTCTTCACGTTTTTTTTTTGGCAACAATATGTTCTCTCTTCACGTTGAAAACTGAAAAATTCAAATTTTTGGCTTTTGACCGCACTGTGCTTTTGCTCCAAAAGCTTGTTAGAGGAAAAGCTAATCCAAACAAGTATAAGTATCAAAACAATCATATAACCCCCTTTTCATATTGTCCAAACCACATTTGGTGACTTGAACAGTAACCCAAACACATGCTAAGTTATACATAACCCCAAAAGTCATTTTGAATATTGGAGGAAAAGCTAAGGGTGTGTTTGGGTGACACCCTAAACCATGGTTTGAGGAATAATCTACCCAAACGCCCCTTCCAAAAACCAAAACCATGGTTTTGGGTCAAAACCATGGTTTTGACTCCAAAACCATGGTTTTGGAAAAAGCAAAATTTTTTTGCTTTTGGAGAAAAAAGGGAGAGTGTGAGGGCCTATATGATATGTATCTTGTTATTTTTTTATAAACATATTTTTTATAAATATATTTAATCTTATATTTTATAAATATATATACACTTTAATTATTTATTAATTATATTATCTTATGTATTATTAATTATGTTGGTAAAAAACATATTATTAACAATTTTATTCCTTCAAATTAAAATATATCATAAAATCTATTTTTTCTGTAATTATCATATTAACTTATGTCTTTTTTTAGTAATTTGTATATATAAAAAGTGCTTCTGATAACAACTATCCAAACGCTCTCACTTCTCAGAATCACTTTTTTACAAAATCTATTCTTCACAGAATCTATTTTCCCCAGAATCTATTCTCCAGAATCACTTTTTCAAACCACGGTTTGGTTTCATCCAAATACACCCTAATTCAAACAAGGATGAGAGAGTGTTTGGCAACCCTCAAAAGTGTTTTTGAAAAGTATTTTTTAGCAAAACGATATAAACTCCTCTACATATTTATTTTGTAAACAGTAAAAACACTTTTGAAACCATAATTTGGTTTCTATCCAAACACTCCCTATATCAAAACAATCATCTAACTCCTATTTCATATTGTCCAAACCACGTTTGGTGGTTTGAACGGAAACCCAAACACATGCTAAGTTATACATAGACCAAAAGTTATTTTGGGCAAAAACTATCCCAAACATATATTAAAAGCTCTACACAACATTAATTCAAATATGATTTTAATAATTTGAGATGTTGAACGATAAGAGATTTTTTAATTTTTCCCTTTATTTTCCTTGTATACTTTATATCGTGTTTCATTTTCAAATGAAAAGCATTCATTTTCACTAAAAAATTTTGTGGATGTATATAATGTTTTAATATTTAAAGATTTTGATTACGACTTCCACGAATCATCTCTCACCCTCTTCTTTCATCCAAGAATCCAAATTATTTCGTGTAAGAAAATTGGAGGAAAAGGAACTCCTCTCCTCTCTTCTCCTCCACACCCCAAATTTGGGTGTTTTGGCGGGGATGGCGCATTCTACTTGTGTTCTCTCCTCTCTCCACATGAATCAAACAAAAAATCATCAAAACTCTTTCCTTCCCATTCTCCTCCCTTGAATTAAACAACAAATCATACCCCCTCCCCCTTCCATTGAAAAAAAGAAGAAGAAAGGGTGCTTTTGTTTTTTGTTTTTTGTTTTTTTTTTTTGGGGCGGGGGTGGTTAGAGTTTCGGAACAGCCCCAGGCAAAAGCAACATAGAGGTACTAATGCTTCTAATTTGGTGTTGATCGCCATGAATTCCAAATCCTACATAGATTTAAATCATGCAAGACAATTTTGCCCATAATTTCTTGGTCTGGGAGTTACATCTTCATCTTCTCATCTCCTGAAATTTAAAAAAAAAAAAAAAAAGTTGAAGGTTTGATTTAAAATTGAACCCAAACATTTCATATGGACCCCGACTCCCTCAGCTTAGGCATTGAAAGCAGCAGCGTAAACAAATGGTCTCAAGCAAAAATTGTTAACGTAACAACATGGATCCAAGTTAATTCCTAGACTTCTTTCTCGACTTAGACGAAGGCTTAGTTTGCTCAGAGGCAGCATTATGTGCAGCTCCTTTGGAGCTGCCTACCTGGTTTGATTTTGGATTTGTGCTGTTAGAAGATGCTCCAGATTCCTGCTTATCTCTACTCACAGAGCCCTGAGAGCCTCTCACTTGAGCAGCTCTTTTGTCCTTTCTCTTGGGCCTATAGCTTGACCTCTCTCGCTTGGGAAGCCACCTTTCTGGATCTGGAGGAGGGCCTGGGTTTGCGGGGTCAAACCCTTTAGGGTACCTTGGCTTTCTCTTTCTCTTTTTCTTAGCTTTTGTTTTGTTCTTTCCTTCCTCGTGTGTTTCAACCACACTAACGTTAATAGAACCCTCAACATGTTTTGCTCCAGAAGTCTTCTCCAAACTATCTACATCAATACCTTTCAAACCAGGTAATGGCTTCAATTGCTTTTCATAAAGTTCTGCCTTGTTAACATCCATGCGGGCAACTGTTGTTACCAGCCCAACTAGTGCTTCTATGCTTCCTTGGCTTTTCACAAGCTCCTCGTACAGACGAGCGGCCTCTTCTTCCCTGCCATGCCTAATCTTGAATGAAGCAGCTTCTTGCATAATGATGTCAAGCTTATTGTCCTCTGTCATGGCATTAGACCACCATTTAATTGCAGAGTCGAGCACTGCAGCTGCACCATCAATGTCACCAGCACGCTCTTTAAGAGATACAAGGGTGGCAACAGTAGCTGGTTTGTGTTGGATATCTGATATCCTAGCCAGAGAATCTGCTGCAATGTGTGGGTGGCCAGCAGCAGCAGCCACCTGAGCCCTTGCCAAGTAAGCAATTTTGGACTTCTCAGGGAACTTATCAGCAAACTGTGCTAGAATTTCCTCAGCCCTTCCGGCTCTGTTCTCTCTCACCAGCAATGCAGCTTGAAGTAAAATGGGCATTACACTGTCAGGAAACATGTCTGGTAGCCCAGAGACAATTTCTCGGGCCTATAATATCCATAGAACACAGCAGTTATCAGAAAGAGGCTCACATGCCAAATAACTTGTCACCCAAATTTTGAAATAAAAGAACTGTGGCACATTTTTGCGCATCAGCAAGAAAAAGGGTGACGAGAAAATACAGAGAAATCAGATGAAAATTTTAAAGAAAAATGACCTGGTCCAACTTATTGGCATGAAGAAGCAGAAGG